CCATGCTTTTTACACCATGTACATTCTTTCACTTTTTCTTTACCTTTTCCATAAACCTTTGGCGAATATTGAGATTCGACAAGATACGCTTTTCTAGCCGCTTGGTGAAATCCTCAATGCTTTCACCCTTCATATGAACGGGACGGGTTTCCTTATCAACGCCATCATTTACCACAGACCAGTATTGGGCACCACGCAAAATTACAATGTAAGAGTTGTACCAGCGACGAAAGTTAGAACGACCGGTGAGAATTGGTACAGTTGCATTGATGGTGCCGACGTGAACAGAGGTAGAGGTATGCATCTTAATGATGTAAGCGTTGAGCGTATTTGAAGTGAGTCGCAGGAGCTGCGTCGAACCCGGGCTCATAACCTATTGAAAGGCTATGCTGAGCTGGAATGACGTACCGTTAGGATGAAGGTATGGAAGGAGGTAGCTATGGCTTTAAGAGAAGTAAAGTTCGTGAGTTATACTCTTAGGACTTGGATCAATGGACGAACTTGAGGATATTCCCTAGTATTCTCAAGTGTGTAAATACTATGGAGATTGTTTGAATTTCCTATTGTATGAATTGCTTAATTTATCTACGTGACAGGACCTTCTTCTATATACATGAATAAGGGGGTTCTGCACACTAGTGGATGTTCCAACATCTGTCCTTGTCTAACCGAGAAAGGAAGGATGTGAGAGATCCTAGCGCCAATAGATACCATTAGGAATCTATTGGGAAATACTATGTCATACCAATGAGTGATGATTTAGGTCAATCATATCCCATGGCACATGTGCACATTATTCTAATGTGAACAGTTTATTGTAATGCAGTCATGTTACTCCCTTAATTACAACACGTGTAACAATAGCTCTGAGGTCTGCTGCAATTGCAGGCGGTAGACTACGGAGATTTTCGGATCCAGCATTTTGCCAGGTTAGAAGCGCCGTTGCGAATTCATTTGTCACTGCTGCTGATCGGGAGGGTACAGCACGAATGTATGAGCTTAAATTCTCTCTACTATGGGTGGGAGTTCTATACTCGTGAGAAGGAGATGCGTGCATCGAGTGATCAAGCTCTCTTCTTGCTTGGTTTATCTTTGGATTCTTTGAGGGGGCACCAATTCTATCTTTTGAGGCCTGGATTTGAGAAGCTGAGTTGTGGTCCTGGTCGGAGTTCTCGCTTTCGTTGTCAGAGTACGCGGGCATATACTCATCCGCTGAGTCAGTCATCATCTCATCTACTTGATGGATCAGTACGTCTTCTTGGAGAGTCGCTATATTCGATTCTTCACGGATAGTCGGGAGGAGGGAGCGTGTTTTCATGCGCATGGAAAGGAGCCACCAATAGCAGGTAGAGCTTAGTAGAAGTCAAGGGACATTAAATAGCTGGTTTAAATAATGTTTAAGGTGGAACGAGATCACCTTTGATGTGCAAGCAATTGTGGAGATTTCATCATGTGGACTAAGTAAACAAATATGTTTGTACGAAGTGTCATGTGATCAAGCCCTCCACCAAAACGTTATAACAATACAAAATAGCGGCGCGTGGGAATTCCAACTGTCGCAAGAAGAAGCCTCCCCTGGCCTGCACTAACTAACCAGGAAATCTTCAGATCGTGCTGCATAGTCTTCTCATCGTCCCCCGGACTAGACGAGATAACCGCAGAAGCGCTAAGACAAGCGTGGCCAGTTTTAGGGCCCCGAGTGACCGATTTGTTCCGTCTGTGCGACCTGCAAGGACTACACCCAAATACCTTTAAAAAGGCCAGCATAATTATTCTCCCGAAGACAGGCAACCGAAACAAAGCTCTTCCCAGGTCTTACCGACCAATTGCTTTGCTGTCGTGCCTCGGGAAGGGGCTGGAACGCCTGATGGCCCGACGTCTCTCTTTCCTTGCCCTCTCACAAAATATCCTTGCAAAGAACCAGTGCAGCGCTGTTTCTCACCGGTCAGCAACGGATCTAACCACAGCCCTCGCCTCTGACATCCAGTCCGCCTGGTTAGAGAAGAAGATTGCAGGTATAGTAACAGTAGATGTTAAAGGTGCATTTGATGGCATTCAGCGAGGATGTCTCTGCCATAATCTCCGTACTCAAGGCTGGCCCCACAATCTTATCAAGTGGGTTGCATCATTCATGGAAAATCGCGAGGGCGTAGTCACATTGGACGGGACAAAAACTCCACCCTTCGCCATAAAATGCGGCCTCCCACAGGGATCACCGGTCTCACCTATTTTGTTCCTCCTGGCTATCGAAGGCATGCTGCGCCTCTCGCCAAGATGCTTCGGCTATGCTGACAATGCGGCAATTTTTGCTTCCGCACCATCTCTACCTGAATGCGCAGCTCGCCTCCAAGAAAAGCTGGACAACGTACTTGCTTGGGGAAGTCTTAACGGAATCGAGCTAGAGATAACAAAGACTGAGCTCCAATATTTCCACCGGAAAAAGGGGAAACCCTTTGAGCCAAGCCTCCGGGTAGACAGCGTCGAGATCAGGCCGAACGACCAAACTCGTTGGCTGAGAGTCCACTTTGATCGCCGCTTGAAATTTCGCCACCATATTAAGCAAGCTTGCGGTAGAGTTACGGCCGTCACAGCGCACAAAAAAACCTCTGCAATACCGCTCGAGGTATCCGACCAGCTCTAGCCAGGCAGGCTTTACAAGGGGCAGCGTTTACAACCCTTTTCTACGGAGCCGAAACCTGGTTCTCAGCAAATACCTGCAAAGAAGATATTGCCCGTATTCAACGCAGGATAAACGATGCAGCCCGTGCAGCACTGCCAGTATACAAAACCACTCCAGTGGCCGCCCTTCTGCGGGAAACTGGATGGTCATCAGCTCAGGGGTGGCTCGAACGTATCCACAACCGGCATGCAGTGCGAGTTGCCTCGTCGGATCCCCAACATCCCTTGCGACTGCGCTGGAAATCTCCGAGAATGGCCTGGATTCGGCGCAGAATTTCCCCAGAACTATCATTGAACACGACTTCACCTCCCTGGACACCAAAAAGAGACGAAATACTCGCAGCAATTGGAGCAGCTGGTCGTGAAGCAGGGCTCCAAGTCTTCACCCAATGGCATTCCTCAGCACCGCCCCTGGACCTCTTCGTTTGCTCAGACAGAGCTCTTATGGATGGCTCAGCAGGGGCAAGTTATTTATGGCGGCGCAAAACATGTGATTGATCAAGGCTCTATTCCTCTAGGTCAATCAGCAGAAGTATATGATGCAGAAGTCGTCGGGGCCATGGAAGGCCTCGCAGCTGCAACTAGAAGCCCAATGGCATACTACGCCACCAATATCATTGTCTGTCTCGACAACCAAGAGGCAGCGTCTCGCTTACTCCTTGGACCGCCGACCCCATCCAGCTCGACTCGGATCGCAAAATTTCGGGATCTCGCAAGATCCTGGCCTACAAGAAACCGTGCCAGATACACTGAGCCAGGAAAGGTCTCTGTACGTTGGTGCCCAGCGCATTCAGGAATCCCTGGAAGTAAAAAGGCAGATGCTCTCGCAAAAGCGGCCTGTACTATAACCGCCCCCAACCTGGCCCCTTCCATTGCCAGAGCAAGGAGAATTTTCAATCTTCGCTACGAGGCCTCTGCGTCGGAATATTGGTCGCGAAATGCCCCTGACTGGTATAGAGTGCTCAGAATCGGGCCAAGCTCCCGCATCACCCCAGAGCTCGCTAGTATGGATCGTCGGTCCCTCGGCCTTCTTCTCGCCGCGCGGTCGGGCCATGGTGATTTTGCAGCATGCCACCGTCGTTTCGCACACAACAGCGCACCTTTAACATGCTCCTGTGGACATGATAAATCGCCGGAGCATTTCATGACCTGTCAACATGGCCTACTACAGTCGCGGCTTCGTGGAGCCAACCGCCCCCGTCCCCCAGACGCTCGCTGGATTTTAAGCTCACCAGAAGGAGCTATCTTGTTCCGAGACTGGCTTAAGTCCACTCTATTTTTTCGAAGAGTTTCAAGGGTACCATTAATGGGGGAAGCCCTGTTTACACCTACATTTGTAGGACAGCCCTGATTACTTAGACACCAACGCTGTCTAAATACGAACATCTACATGTAGTTTAATTTCCACTTTTAATTATATAATTTATATCAATTTAAGAAGAGTCTCACTGATCTGGCGACCATGCGGACCGGGAACAGTGGGGTCTTTATCGGGTTTTTGTTATGGGAATACCGGTGCGTCGGGTAGCCCTTCATAGGCTGAGCTAACCGGCATGGGGCTTTAAAGCACTGTGTTGTGCGCAGGCACGACGTTAATATAAATAAATAAAAATAGCGGCGCGGAATCACATCATTATAACGAGCCCGCACTGTATATAGAAGTAAGTGGAACATATGCTAGGCTCTACAAAATTTTCGAGTGTCGGACGATGGCTTTATTTTCGAGTCATACAATCTGGACCATTAGCTCTCAGACCATTTTTGTCCTCGCCTACCCCATTTGCGTCTGCACCATCGACACTTTTCAAACGACGAAGGCGGCTCTCTTGTCACATACTTGCCTGACTAATCATATTGAACCCTGATGGTATGGAGGTAGTTTTAGAAAACTTAAAAAAAAATAATTCGGAAGGTATTGTGCTAAGTCCTGAATTGATTAGGCACCACCAAAAATGCTGACACTTACCTGCTGAATACAGCATCGAGGCCATCTTAACACGGAATCAATGTGCTCAATCTCTAGTTTACTCGCGCTTTGCTCTAAATTGAATAATTTCTATGCAAGACTACCTAGTATTTGGGACCAACAGAATGGTGGGGACCGCCTACTTCTATCCTGTTATCTTGGCGCTCCAAGGTGATACTGAACAGAACAAGGTGCAAACAATCCTCCGAGTCACCATGCACGACAATTTTCTGGACTCTTGCCAAAATCTCAGATCAGCCAGACATTCAGCATAGTTCTCTTTCTATTCCAGGCTAGGTTGATCATGAAGAGCTTAATTACCGGATAAACTCTCCGAGACTTATGGCTATTAATATCATTGTACTATGGTACAAAAAGTTTCAACTACTCTAGGGCTCGGTGAATGAATGTTGACTGTGATATGCTTCCCCAAAATGGCAGATAAATGGCCACGTGAGTCGATAATAAGTACGTAAGTGTAAAAATAGTTTTCTTTGCAAACTTATTAGCAACATAAAGGGCTCTCTTAATGATTGAAAAAACCTACCATCTCCATCACCCTCTGTTGAATGCTCATAGTATCTGACACCCTGCTCGGAACTTTTGTACATCACTTTGCTTCCATGCGGCAAATTCCTGATTTTTGATTCGATTTGTGGAATCGTAATTTCGGTCAGCAAGCCTTGCCTTAGTTTCTCATAGGCATCCTGATGATCGCCTCTTAGACCACGGTAACCAAAAATCTGATCGTAACAATTGAACCTTTTTTGGGAGTCATTAATATCAGCTAGTTGATAATGAGCGAGATTTGCGACAGAGAATCTAACACTCTGTAGAAGGAGGGCGACGGCATAGAAGCGCATGATGATAGTTTTTGATTTGTTAAATCGAGTGAGATATACTTGAAATTAAAAGTGAGGTTTAGAGGATAGCCATGCATCAAAGAAGGAATACTCATATAAATACTCATCTAACGAGCTTTATCCCCATTGAAGTGGCCTCCTAAACCCATTTATTTGGCGAATTCGCTCTACAGATATGCGGAGCTGTCTATCCTTGGCTATTCTATGCACAAGTTAACTGATAACCCAGGTGTCATTGAATTCTTACCCCTGCGCTACCAAGCTTCCATGGAGCAAGGACATTGAAAGGAGAAGCTATTATTCATAATTTGATGGCTCCTGCTCATGACCGAAGTTTTGCAGTAGTGATGGCATTTATGGAATAATGGGAGAATTGCGCATTACGCAGGGGTTAAATAGAACAAAGATGATTATGATCCGATATGAAAGTTAAGTGATTGTTATGGTTATGAGCTATTCGGATTGATGAGGAGTGGGTGACACTGAAAAGACTCATAAAATACGATGCCGTAGGTATATGGATAGAAAGTATTAGACTAAACCTGTGTCCATTTATTGTGGGTGCATCTATGAAACTATATACATGCTCGCCTAACCAGTACACTGGTGATGTATGCTGTGGCCTCGAGCCAGACGCGATGCCCTAGCCTCGACTACCTCATTGTCTCATATCAGAAATTGATTGACTCTATAAATCTAGACATGGAGTAGTCGAATCAATTGTGAACACTCTACCTCGTTGGTGTCGAAATGTCCGAGGTTACCTGACACAATGGAAACAGCTCTCTCGTGACCGGAGACATAAGCCTTCAAGCCCTCCCTGTCAGCGACAGCAATCAACGTGGGCTGGAGAAAGCTTGGTCTAGTTGGCGTGAAGCTTAAACTCGGATGTTTGGAATTCAAGGCGTGTGATCCACCCACCTTCAGCCCGATTCCTCTTGCGGGAGGATGAAAGCTTAGCTTCTGTTACTCACGTCCGATGCAGAGCAGGAGCGGATAAGCTGCCCATCTGACTTCATGCATTTAAGACGAGCCCGGAAAGCTCCCTTCCAATGGCTAGCGGCGGCTAAGCACGGCTCTTCGCGTGGGTTTGTTTACAAAATTATTTCAAGCTCGTGCCCACGCGCAACGACACTCCTCTCGGCCTCACCGGCTGGATCATTGGTTACTATCGTTAAGCTGCTTGAGTCTGTAATTATCTGGCACATTAGCCTCCTCTCTGACTCAGGCCACACATCATACGCTACGTCCATCTTCTTTTTTTACGAGAAAAAATCTCTCATGCAATGCCCACCGGGACGAGCCATTTAGCTTAGTATTTACCCATGGAATTCTGCGTCCTTCCTAATCATAGGCTCAGTAGGGACTTTAACTGAATTATATTCTATTCCGCATCCCTTTTCAACATAGGCTTCTGTCCAAAAAAAGTTAGCCTCATAGACGACGTACGCTGGAAAATTCTTCAAAAAAACTGTAGCCCTAGTCAGACGAGGCCCAGACACCTAAGCTACATCAGGTATGTATATCCGTCAAAAGTTCCCCTGTAAGGAAAGGAGACGACTTGATTCAATCCACCGTCAACTTACTGGGAGCTAGCTATACTCCTAAAACTCACCAGATGGTTTCTCCACCAAGACTTAGAAAAGTAACATGGGTGGATTGTATGTAGGTATTCATGTTACGATTTTGAGTCAAATAAGAATAGTTACTTGTCGCTTGGCATTGGGTAAACATAATAGCTTTTGATATTGTCAGAGAGAACATAGAAAGCCTCATACACCCATGTGACCCATTTTTATGATGAGGCAACGAGGTAATCGAAGCTAGAGCATCGCGTATGGCTTAAGGCCACAGCATACATCACTAGTGTACTGGTTAGGCGAGCATGTATGTAGCTTCATAGATGTACCCACTAAATAACATCATCCACTCCTTGTCACTCCGCAAAATGACTTCCGCATAGCTCATAACCATGATACCCATGTCACCGTCTACATTCCATCCTAAGAATTCCTACTAACCCCACGACTAGGAGAAAACACTGTATGTGCGCAGTTGAAATTTCACTACCTACAAGTCACCTCGTATGAGCAACGGTTGCTGTTTACGTAGCTAATACGTACATTCTCAAAACACATTACAGCTCTGCCCCTAACGTTGCAATTCAATGTCTCAACACAGTCCTCCTGTGACTGCTACTCAGCAGCAAAAGTAGCTGTATCCACCCATAATACGTAAAGTGTTCAAAAACCTTCGGTGCCATCCTACATTTCCTGGATATATCCCACGAGGAATGGCTAGCGTGTACAGCCAGCAGACTCATCACGAAACTGCACAAATTATTGCTCTATAATGACTCAACTCAGCGCTGTACCGGTAGTTTACTAGCGATATCTCAACACTTCGATCCTACCACTTGATCTGATCGCACTCAGCTTCGTAATTATGATGCTCGGGGCTTGTACGGTGGGACAAAAACAATACAGACTAGCTCGGAATGATATGATTCTTCTTGGCTATCCCAGGTATGCTGAACATACCGAGCGCTTGCACTAGAACCGCTAGAAGATGTAGGATTCGTCTTTGCCGGCTTTTCCAGTAATAGAATGCTACTGAGCGATAATTGAGTGGCCGCTCGCTGCTGCATGACCGGGAGTGCGGGACTAATAGAGCCCTAGAAGTATTTATTCAGCAAATTCTCGCTTATACTAGACAGTTGGTGATATTAGGGTAATTTATATTTGTCAAACTTAGTGAGATGGTAGGTGAAATGAGCAATGCTTGTAGTCTTCGCTACGTAGTGCAGACAGTGCACCGTATCCTATCATACCCAACAGGAACACTCTAATACATCCTAGGGTATACGTACTTGACACAGCGTTCTGGCGGAATTTTGGACAATAATCTAGAGATTATCAGAATAGTAATGAAGAGAGACGAGACGCGAAGCTACAAGATAGATCAGAATGCATGAGACGTTATGATTTCTGGTAACAAGAATCGAAGACAGCATTAGAATAAATGTAAAGATGCCTGAGCGATCCTCGAGGTAGCTAACTATTAGTCAAAATCTGATCAAAGTTGTGAGAAGTTTTGTTTTGGCGCGGGACATATGATTCCCGAGCATGTCGCATATCAACCAGCCATATGACTCAAGTGGCAAAATGCACAAAAAATCCCAGTCTCAAATCCATGATGCGAGTTAAGTTTTGTTAAATTTGTCTTACATAGTTATAAAGTCAAAAAGTACATAAATGAATTAAATAAATAAAATTTTGTACGCCAAATTCCGTATAACTAGCGGATATGAAAAATGGAGAACTCACATGTACATAGATAAAGACGTGAAATCCCTCCAAATATTGCGACTATTCTTCCACGAACAATATCGGTATCAATGCAGCCTCTGATGAATCATTTTCTTTGTCTAAGAATCCAGACATAGATACAAACCCTACGTGTAAGTCGACCAACCATCTGACTGCCAAAACCTTTCAAGAACCGTGAGGACAGACATCACTGCTCTCTTAACGTGACCCACCACAGTCAGAATTGCTTGCATGTTACGTCATCTAGCGAGTTGTGTATTATTGAGATCTTTTCTCGGATGTTCGGGAAGATGCCTCAAGAAAATACTCGAGGCTTGCTCGAGCTTTGGATTTTATACGATTCACTGACATTTTTGGGCTCTCAATCAAGGCGTGTGCATATATGCAGGAGAGAAATTTTGATTTGTAGATGGATTTTCTTTAGAATCAAACACAGAAAGATCTCAAGTTTTGTGTTCGTTTTTAATTTTGAATTGGCCCCAGTTCTCTACCAAACTCTTCACTCATTTTGAAAAGATAAATTGATATTCCATCTCGCTAAAAGTGGGAGCTCTTTCTGTCAGGGGAAGCGGGCTGCTCATGGTGATTTGTGAGTCATATTAAATCTAAAGATAGTAAACAGTCATCGCTACATAGAAATTATGAAAAGTGCGGAAGCCCGGAATAACCCTTTGCCAAGTCCGGAACAATTATAGTGCATCACGAGGGATAGACAGTCACGATTATAGGATGTTTGTCTGTTCATTTACGTGCTAGGTATAGTGATTCCCGTCGCACTCCTACTGGACCTTGAGCACGGGTGGGCCCGGGCCGGATCAGGTTAACTACCGTGAAGTACAGATATACCTCGTCCCACTTAAGTGACCGGACCACCTCAGACTTCACCCATATGTTGAATCATGTCAAGCCCTACCGTCCAGAAGCCTGCTGTAAATACGCCGTGACGCAGATTCCCCCTCAGCCTCGGCCACCACGCGCCCGAGCCCTTGACTCCGAAATATAAATGCCGTCCAAGATCTCATCGTTGCTCTAGCCTTGTACCTTCATATCGTACTGTTGGGTTGTTGTCATCATTGGAGAACGGTAATAGGATGGTAGTTGGCGTTGTTAAAGATTAAGTGATAACTGAGCCTCTTAAGACCTTCGTTTAGCGAAGTGTCAAGTAGCTCAGGATGTAGTAAACAGTTATGGAGTTGGATTGGAATATCTACGGCAGTCTGGCCTTATGGAAGCACTGATGACATCTTCGTCTCTACTCGCTTAATTTCAACCTCATTAGATATGTAAATCGTGGGTAAGGCTTTGCTATTTAGCTACATTACCCTTTAAACCTTGAGTTCTTGCTTGCCATAATTAGCGTGTCATAACACCATGTAATCTCTTCCCTTCTCATCGCACAACTTATTTCTTACACTATTCTACGTACTAAGAATTCATGCCCTGTGATAGAAAGCCTTTCTAAGAATCGTCGGAATCATTTCTGGCACAGTTACGTTTGGTACAACATATGGGAATAAGGATCATAGACTGGATCCTCCCATTGATTACTTTACTCTGAAACATGGTGTTGAAGTTTATTCTGAGTCAGCACAGTTCAATGACGAGATGGGCTATGCCAATGACCAACGGGATAGAAAAAATATTATTTGGTGTGTTTTGATGCTAAAAGTAGGCATAGTCCACTGCTCGAGTAGGAAAATTCACTCTGTAGCCAGATCAACAACTGAGGCTGAGTATATTGGAGGTAGTGAGGCGGCCAAGAAGGTGATCTGGTTAAGAAGACTGGTCGCAGAAATTGAAGGCAAAGACTGCGCTGGTAGCGCCGCGCTGATGTTTTTAGGTGACAACAAATCAGCGATTTAACTAGCATCAGGAGTACCAAACACGTCGAAAATGAAGTAAATTGATATTGCGCACCATCATATCCTCGATAAAGTAACGAAAGGTACGATTTTAAAACGGTGGTTATCAGGGGAGCAGCAATTGGTCGATGGAATGATAAAGGCATTGAAGAGCGCTAGATTCGAGGCAAATCGGCGAGCAATTGGGATTTAAAGCGTGATCTCAACCCTCTGAATAGCTTCACTCTTGGCTATTTGCGAGTTTAGGTGAGTGTTGAAATACAGGGCTAATCCTATCAATCAGAATCAACATGTGTCCTTTATGATGTTTAGACCCACCATTGTAGTATATATGTCGCGAAGCTCCCCGAACCCTTAATAGAGATTAGTGGAATCAGCATATTCTTTTTATAGAAATCTCGCAAACATGCTTCTTTTTCCCATCATTTAGTACAGCACAACATGAAGGATGCTGCTCTATTGACCTAAATTACTTTGGATATATGTCAGAAATTGTCAAGGATTTCTAGGAGGAAATATCTCGAAGAACAAGTGTACAATTTCGGACAAGATTTTATTGATAGTTGTGTAGGATATCGAACTCTCTTCTCAATATGAATTAATAATATATAATATTCCGTTAACTTAGTTTAACATATACAAGTAAGTCTATCCTTAAAAACAGATCCCCAAGGCTTCAGTGATCCCAAACTCCAAGTGATCTGGTAACAATCAGCCACTTAATTAATGCAAGGTAGCATTTCCTAGCCACTACATTTCAGATACCACTGAACCTCATGTCACCCAGCTAAGCTTAACCATTTGCAATCGCATCAATTGAATTTATCTTGATGATCATACTTCGAAATCCAAACCTCCATATATACTAAGTCTAGATTTCCAACAATATACTGTAAGTTCAATCTTCTTGTTGCTAATTAGTTTAATAATCTCAAATGGTAAGTCATATATTTTTTCAGTGTAAAATATTAAAATTCTATGCGGATTGTGCAATCAATAATCTGCAAGTATAATTGGACCACAGCAAATTAAATATACTACGAAAATCTATGAATAGAAACACCATTTCTACCTCTTCCGTGAGCGATTGATCTAACCCCTCATCACTCCGGACGCGACACAACTGATTTTCTACGCGCATGGTGTCCTTTCTTGCCCTCTCCATTTAAAGGAATGAAAACTGAGGGGGGAACCTGAGCAGTATCGTGGTAATCTATAGGCCTAACTTTTGTTAAAATTTATTTTGTCAAAGATATCAACATGTTATTCTATATCCTGAGTGCAATTATTTGCACGCATCGCGAGTATAGATTTTCCATATTTGTGCCACTTACGGAGGTCTGTTATCCCTGTGAGAAGCGAATCGAGGATCAAGTGTACCTGCCATTACGTTCCTTCAAAAACTATTAGAAGAGTTGTGGTTATCTTCTTATCCCAACTGCTCACACTGCGTTATCTCGTGCCAAACTGGTGCCAAGAGGGGTCCTCATGTAGTTCTGGTCGCTATAATGTGTGGCTAAGATAAGATACCTTAGACTGTCTTCCTCTCTCAAGATGGAGCTACTAACCAGGCTTAGTTCTTGGGTCAAGCTTGTTCAAAAAACATGAACTGTGGGAACCAGTATTTGAGGGACTTTTTGATTTCTATTTTATAAAGTTAAATTTTAATGTGGTCCATCACTTATGAGCTTCAAATTTACCCTTGTACTGCGAGCTTGAAGATTGTCAGAGATTGTTTGCTTTGATCTGAGAATACATCTAAAACATACCTCCCTTTTTACCAGAAGTGAGGCCACAACCTGTATCAGATTCACTAGTCACGGGGTCAGAATCAGTATTGGAATGAACATTTTGAATTTTATCTGCTCTAGAGTCGTACTCATCGGTGACGTGGCAAATATCGAGACGGCCGCTTGCCTGTGGGTCGTATTTGGCGCTATTTATAGAGGGGTCATTATAGCCAGTTATTTGTTCGCTTTTACCATATCTCGGAACAGTTTCCGGTTGATGGGATGCTCCCACGTTAGTAAAATCGGTAGTTGCAGTATTGTGAGATCTAACTTGTTACTATAGCTTTTCCATTTAAGACCAGATCTAAATATTACCCTACATGTCCTTGGTGGTGATCATTTCGGTGGATCTCATTAGACGTATCTGTCGTGTTCTTATCTTTGTTGATGTGCAAGATATCCTTTACTTTTTCAATCGTCGAGGACATTGTGAAAGGTGATCAGCTCAGCTAAAGGTTGGGGTTGGCAGGATGTCGATAGATTCTCGTTAGTGTCGATGAGCAGGATGTTAAGATCTCTATCTACGATTTAAGAATTTATATGTCAATATCGTTCTTAAATGATTTTCTCTGCCTTACTGTACATATGGCGGAGGCTCTTTTTTTAGTCGTTTCTGAGCACGTGTTGATAGGCTTAACTGGACTATTTTCCCATGATAGTTCACAAAGTGAGCCATAATATTTACGTTCTGGGCCAAGAGATGACGGAGTAGTTATTTGTTCATTCCTAAACACGAGATGTTATTGTTTAGGATAGATAATCATCGCAATTCTTTCCTGCAATCTGACATAATCTCGAGGCACAAGAGTGATAGTGAAAGTTGCCATAATCAATAAAACGGGCTCCAGAAAAGAAGTCACAACCTTATGGTGGCATACAATCTGCGTGATAATGATTTGTGCTTAAATGTTTTGGTCGCATTGGTGTGTAATATTTATCGTCTAATGTAGGTCTGACCACCATTCCGCCTGATGAAATGACGTATCAAGTCACATGGAGCATTACAAGTCATAATCAATGACGTTATAGTGATCATATGAGTTTTTTCGTTGTGTGATCATTAGATAGATTTCAGGAGCCCGTGAACCTATATCAACATAAGCTTGTGATTGGTCTTGATTGGCACTCCAGAGTCATTACTAGCTTTGGAAATATCAGTCACCAGGGTAACCAGTTACGCAGTATTCTTTCTACCTCTCACTACAGGACTGTAGGGGGCTATTCTTAACACCTTTCAGTGGTGTCCCCTACGAACCTCCGGCTCTCACTGTAGAGTCTGCAGAGCCGAGATTGAGTAATACCGTCCTCACTTCCATGAGGATTCCGAACAGCTTCCGCGATCTGTATCGCTTTCATCTCTCAACACATCCCCTATCACCATTTTCATGGAGTTAACCACGATCAGATCAGATGTTGGGGTCGGAACCTTACTCATCTTTTTTTTTCATAGTGTATTCAGTTATCTAGCTATGACACATTATTTAAATACTTTTAGTTCCCAAAACTCTAACCTTACTCATCACCAACCCTTGATCATGGAGGAAAAGCCATGCGATGAGTTTCCAGAGCGTACCAAGCACCCGATACAGAGATGGTGGATTGGACCAAGTCGGCCTCGAATGTTACAAAGAAGGGAGATATAGATGGATATACGCACTTTGTATGGTCCTGGTGTCTAGGCCTCTCCTGCCTGGGGTTGCAGGTTTTTTGAGACTTCTTCCCGCGCACGCAGTTTCCATTGCTACCATTTTTGTTTTTTTTGGGCAGAAGGTTCCGTGGAGAAGGTGGCTGAATTCTATGGGTAGATAAATAATTGATTATCTTGATTTGGCGCCATGAGGCCCATGAATTTTTAAACGTTCCTTTGGTGGGTACTCATGGAGGAGGGTCGACTGTTTGTGTAAGCGAACATACCTCATAGTGGTATTTGCAAATGAAATCCAGAGTATGAGTGTTTCTAACGTCAAAAGAGTCATCCCACATGTATACATAGCACCGGTCATGTGTCATAGCTCTATAGCTGAATACACGTTAAATGATTAAAAAAAAGAGGACCATGCAGATTTGTATCAGAAGATATGTACTTTAAGTAGAACTCAATTTGACGTCTAGAACACTCATACTCAGGTTACATTTGCAGATACCACTCGAGGTTAACCCTTACGGCGTATAACCTCTTCCGTGCATACTCACCACAGGGAAAAGCGTGAAATCCCTATGGCTATCCGAATGTGCTTTAATTGTCCCACAAGAACAATATTACAGCAAGAGAGGGTGGTGTGTGGGGTTCACTGGATTTGAACCGGCTTTCTCCTGTCTCAAACGGGGTAGGTGTTCAAGCTACGGAGAAAATACTTCGGAGAACGGTCCGAATTGTGTACCACTGGACCATCCAACCCTCATTGCCAGGTATACCGACATGCGTTAGAAACCATCGTACTCTGAAATTGCCTGGTCCTTCGAAGTGGCTAAAGCGTCTTCCTGTCCACTTCAATGTGCGTTTTCGGAGGTGAGCGTTGTGAAGGGAGCTGCTTGAAGTCCGCTGGCGGGGTTTATTCTGTGTGGTCCTTGCATGATGATTATTCTTTCGTGTTAACACTCCTAAGGAATTAGACGTATGTTGAATGGATTAAATCTTAGAGATGCTCATCACACTGAAGAGACCTTAAAAACCATGGACTGACTCGTCCCACTAGCTTGTAACCATAAGCCGATATTAATACGTCCCAGAAAGTATGGATAAGATGTTTCCGAATCATCCCACAAATTTCCTTTACCTCTGTCTTAATCTTGAGCCGCATTCTGCAACATCTTAGCAGCATCACCAATAAAACGGAAATGGAAATTTTCAACGCTCTCTGAGCGAGTCTCCCAGGAAGACAAAGACTCATCAACTGATGGCGGTATTATCAGTGGTTTTGAGAATGAGTTTTTCATCCATTCGCGAGCTTCAGTGAAATTCTGCAATAGCGACATTTCTCAACATGAGGTAGTTACTAGAGACTTCCTACAGCGCTCATCCTTGGATCCCAACGAGGCTAACTTCAACCAAAGCCTCTTCGGATCTACAAGGATAATCCACCACGCGCCAACTCCTAGACTCTATCTGGCTTCAGATGCGCGCCAACGACGATAGAAGCACACGCAGGATCAAAAGATGTGGCGCGCAAATTTTGAAGGGGCATACCTTTTAGGTGGATATTAAAGGGATGAAGCCTGAAAGGCAAGATGATACTAAATATGAATACAAAGTCGAGAAGGAACAGATAATAAGCCGTGAAAACTAATTTTTCAAATTGAGGAAGGTTGAGGGCGCTAATATGAAAATTTTCATGGTAGCATGGTGCAGTGGCACATTATCAAACATGACGAATTTTAGGTGATAAATGTTGTTTTCGGGTCACAGCCCCCGGAATATGTGGGACTGAAGAATTAACATGGCTCACAGGTTGAGTCTACACTGAATCTATGGATAGAGGGGTACATGGCAATTGTGGGGCACACTACGACAGTGGAAGAGTTCCTAAGTTACGTGTACCCTTCGACTGATCTTTCTCGCAACATACGACTGAGTAGGTGTGAGACCTCATTTTTATGGCACACACACTGGCATTGTATGTCAACGTATCCCCTCATGGACGAGCCGCTGCTGTAGCCGAAGCTGGGTATACCATCAGATACAATATCATAGCGTTTGGGCTGGTCAGGTACCCTTGTCAGCCTCGCTAATAACTGAGATGTCTGTAGCCTCAGGCAACACATTCCTCAAACAACCCAAGACAAACTTATAGTCCGCTGGACAAGTAGAAAGACAGGCATCCGGGGGAATCGCAAAGCAGACTTAACTGACGACGATTGATCAGTAAGAGAAACGAACCCTCCCCTCTCACACCGGAATCTTGGAGAGCAAAACTGAGCACCTGTAGGCGGTGTCCTCTGCCAACCTGGAAGTGAAATATTCTCCCAGAGCCAAGTTCAGTCAAATTTCGCAATACCGAACAAGTTGGCCCACGAGGCAATGATTCAAACTACTCCACCACGTCAAATCTTCACTCCCAAAGAGTCCGATTCATACCTAAGCCTCATCAGGTCTACAACGATAACCTAGTGTATGCTCATCCAGATGACCACACCTCTCGTCGGCTTTCTCTAGCCTCAGCTGGTCATCTGGTACACGCCCATGCCAATATTTATACCTGTCGAAGGAAACAAAGCGTGGCTCAGAAATCTGTGAGAATTATTGAGGATGAGTGTGAAAGGGATCGGGGGAAGTTCACAAGATGTTTCAGAGAATGGAAATAATCTCAATAAGCGTGAAATTTGAAGTTTGGCAATGAGTTTTACGAATTGAGCTTTGTGCGTGCTCCAAGACTTCGATTGCGAGAGTTCAGGCGACACATAAACACCGTCTTGGTAGGATAGGACGGCGGCACATCTTCGTGTCCGGTCTTCCAAACAGAGTCTGGAAAGCTTGGACACGTATCCCACTCGAGACAGAAGATCGCTGGTTCGAATTCGGCGAGTTTACGTAGACGACGAATGCATGCTTGGATAACCAAAGGTTTTGAAATTCTCTATTGTGGGAACTTACGGAGGAGGGTCGAATGTTTGTGTAAGCAAGCGTACCTCATAGTTGTATTTGCGAATGAAATCCAGAGTATGCTTATCTTTAACGCCAGAGAATTAATCCAACGTGTAAACATTGCATTGGTGATGTGTCAAAGCCAGCAAGCTGTATTCATAGTAAATGATTAAAAATAGTTGTGTTGTATTCTTTTTTGACGGAATACTATTGAAGGAAGATATGGTTAGAAAACTATACTGCTGATAAATGCCTAAAACTTATTTGGTAAATTATCATTCTTACTACTGAGTTCTACATTTGCGATATTTTCTATACACCCGAGTTTAGCCCAGCGTACAGATAAAGTCACATGTGTTCTGAGGCTCAGTGACTGATCCTTCAACAAATATAAAATTTAGAGGGCATGAGTTTACAGTTTATTAAATAAGTTTAGATTTGGGACTCTTAAGTTTTCTGATATTTTTACAAAAGGTTTATTGGTAACATCATACCTAGAATAGACAACGCTATGAATAACGTCCTACTAAGGCTACTGCCAATTTGAAAACTTCTGCCCCCCAAACTAGTTACCAACCTTGGATCTACTGTGTTAGTGCTAGGAGTGGCTGTTCTAGTCTCGGTCGCATGGAGGTTTGTTGGCGTACTCGAGAGAGGTTTACCTGAGTTCGAGTAAGTTTTTGACTCTATTTTTCTGAATGTCGAATTAGGAGATGCTGTACTTGTATTGAATTGAGCTGGAGAAGTGGCCACTGCACTCCTCATTGGTGTGTAGCTGAGAGGATGTTGAGTTGACGAGGCAGTGGATGGTCCCGCCTCATCTCTGTCAAAGAGAATTGCAGATAAAGTGGCGGTAACAGTGGGCACTTGTATGTTTGGAAGAGCAACGTTTACCGTAGAAGATGAAGTGATGGCCGTAGAACTCGTGTCACTTTCAGCAACACTTTCCTCGAAAATCTTTGGTGTATCGATAGAAGAATAGGTTGGGGAGGATACTGCAGATGTAGCTGGCCCTTGCATTTGGTAGATTTTGGACTCTGCCTCAAGTATTTCCGGTTCATTAACTAAAGGTCCAGATGATGACTGATCCTTAGTTTGGGTGAGGTTTAGAGTTTCAAGGGTTGACAACCGGTTTTGGTAAACTCTGAGTGAGTTAATTAACCAGTAAGATTCTTTGTAGGCGCCCGGGTTGGCAGCTACGTAGCTAGCACAGGTTGGATATTGGCTGGGGTTTGACCTGTAACAGCTAGTTTGTTGCCAAAGAGCGTCTTGACCGGCCCAATTGCCGCAAAAGGCATTGTCTATGATAACTTTTTGGTCCTTAAAATGATCATCAATGTTACAGGATCCTTGAGCCGTAGTAAAAACTGGCTGTCCCCAGCCTGTTGGATTAGGGGCCCCGGCCGAGAGATCATTTGGGATATTATTACGACCAAAATGCCAGATACTAATAGCCTGATTGTTCCACTCCATGGCATATATACCACCACCGTTGTCGTTGAAAGAAGTCCCGTAGTTATTGGGGTTAGTGTTATCAGCTGAACAACCCTGACCACTTCCCTGTGGTCCGTAAGGGCTTGAGGTGGCTGCTCCATCACAGTTGTAAGTAGTTTGTCTTCCTGACATCTGATTGCCTTTTTGGTTACCCGCAACGGTACAGCCGGGAGATGTGTGAAGCGCCTCCAAAGTGTTGTTGTTTTCATGTATGTTCTCAAGGATGTCGATTTCGCCCCATCGTGGCCAGTCCTGATCGTTAGTCGTCCAGAAGGCAGGCCATGTTCCACACGTATTAGAAGGCATGTGTGCTAGATCTAGAACAAATAGGCCGTATTGGTAGGTCTTTTTAGTTTCGAGTCTTATACTCGACCGCCCTCGACCACTATTTAGATCCAAAACATTAGAAGAGTCTACTCCGATGTATGCCTGCTGGGCTTGATTGATAGATATCAGTTTCGAGTTATAGGCTGTGTTTTGATCTTGATACTGGACGAATCCTCGGTTTGGATCGCCATTCTACTGTTTATAAGTCAAATCTTTCAATGTAGTGGAATAGTTTCTCACATTATAAAAGTTAAATTTGTCGAAAAATGAATTGCCGCTGTACGTGTCGTCGGCGCTAAGAATATAAGCAGAAAGAGTTGTAGAGGTACAAGTAACGGCCAACAGGCCAAAGAGAGAATGAGTGTGCATTTGTAAAGACTGGATAAATTTTTGATATGAACGAAGGACTGCTACTGGCTCTTTTTCAAGACATGAGCTATGTGGCGCGAGATATAATAGATATCTTATCTGGATTTCAACTGTTACCGGCGGACTTGATTGTTAATAAATCGCCTTTACTTTGTTTAGTTCGGGAGTCGCCTTCTTCCTTATCCAAGCCGATCTCCCTAGGATTTCCATCGCTGGTTTTGCCCGACATGCATGATAGTAGCTCATTACCATGCTGGAAGGTTAACCCAGGGCGATAAGGCCCGAAGTTGACTTGTTGAGTAAGGCGTGGGTGTCGCTTTGCTCTAACCATGTCTGTATCCAATCACATGAAGCTGAAGCAAATTTCTTTCTCGGACCAGAAGCTTCACTGGCTTAGAAAAGAGTTCAAGTCGTGTTGTTAATCTCATTTTAGTTTGCTCCTTGACGATCGGCGGTCGAAGGAGCATCCAGAGTTGTGGCTATGTCTGAGTGGCATATTTCTTATACCTCCCATTTAATCACTGGCTGTGTAGCATCATTGATTAAGCTGAGGGCGGGGGAGCTGTACCGACTTGAAACGACGACGCTTGACGAGGACACCGCGAGCGAAATCATTTGGTCAACAATCCGGGACGTAATCTACCGGATTTGTTGTCTTGTTAACCAGCCCACGGACGTGCAATGTTTTGTTTTGCCGAACCATAGCTGCGCTACGCTTGGCCTAAATTAGCAGTCTAACCATTTATGGAGTATCCAAAGCGACCCTTCCTTTTAAATGACTTGATGTGGAGGGAACTAATCTGGCTTAGTCTTGATCCAGTACGTTTATTGTCCTATTGAGAAAATGACTAATTCAGGGCAAGTGGTTCCATTCTGCATACATGCCCGCAATACCAACTCGTCTATCAAGAAAGCCATTTAGCGGCAACATACCCACAGCTGATCATTTTGCCACATACTCAGAGGAGACGGAAGAATATCATTATCTTCCCTCTCTAGCCAACGAAATAATTGCCATACATGAGTCTACAGCTGCAGGGAGAAGGCTTAGGAATCACTAGATGAGGGGCTCCCCTACTAGCGACATCGGGACTACATCTGAAAATCTAGCTTTCCTTTTTAAATATTCAATGAGGCTGGCTAGCATTTTACGGTAGATATGTACATACTTGGGAGCGTCTCTCAACCTTCCTTGTCTCCCCTAACTCCTCTCCTCATTTGTGCCGCACGGCCAAACGAAGGTTGTGAAAGGATATCGGTGAGTTTTTAGCCGAAAGTGATTGCCGTGAAGAAGTTAAGCTAAGCGTTCAAAAGTCGTTTCAGACGTGGTATTTAACAGTAGCTCATGTAACATAGAAACTCTCACATCTAGCAGATTCGGAATGAATAACATTGAGAGGTAAAAAAATGACGAGCCAGAATCCGCTTGAGAGCGGCGGGACCTTGTACATTAATTCGTTGGACTAGAAAACTCAGCACCTGTCAATGAAATCCCATATGAACACCCTATCAGAGAAATTAAAATGGGCTTGATAGCGTTATACGTCAGCGGTAAGAATTATCTGAATTTATTTCTTGTCTTGTTCTATTCTACTTGCTCTCTGTGTGTACCGTAACTTCCACATACGCGTTGATATGGCATGCCACTGACGCTCCACATTCGTGCTCTAATCCTTGCATTACCATGCACGCCTACAAGAAATATCTATCTATACAAACCGTAACATACCCAGCTCTAACTGTAGAGCCTTGCGTGAGAGCCGAAGGCCTCCATAGCGGACACCAACAATAGTTGTTGAGTTTTGTCCCCTTTCACAGTCTTGAGGCTCATACAAATGCCAGCTTTCACGCAACTCTCAATTGTATTATCGCAATCGTGCTTGTGGCAAGCCACAGCTGCACTCATGAATATTCTCTCGAATCATGATATGCCATACCACAAGATCTAGCAAAATGTCTATGTCGCTCAGATATTCTATCGTGGAAGAGCCTGGCTGCTCTCCAAGTTTTGAAGTCTTTTTGATACCGATTGATGTGTATTCGGCTATCTAACCACGACATACGACCAGATCATCTAAATTGCAGTTATCAGATTTATGTTCTAAAAGATCCATATCGTAGGTTTTATTCGAAAATAACACTGTGGGGTATTTTTTCTTATACTCAGCATTCGACCCATCTCTGTTTGTACCCACCAAAACCAAACTCAAAGCCTTTAACAATACAGGTACCCCTCCTAATACACACACACTAGGACCGCAGGTGATGTGAGGTATTATTGTCTAAATCGAAGCAGTGAACTCCTGTTTCAAGTGTGGTTTGTGTCCGACTTATCCAGACTTAACTAGTGACACAGGCTAAGATGATATACCATTGCACCATCCAACCTCACTATTTTTCTAACGTCACCTGCACTCGCAGACTCCATGCATTGGCGCGCATAAAGCTCGGTATGTAAGACTTTTTGCCCAAATTGGAAATCTTAATCCCGTCGAGATAGTATTCTTCTATGCATCATCCTATAAAGTTTACTTCCTTTCCCTCACGTCCGCCTCGAGGAAATATTGTAAAACTACGGATCGTGACGGAGGAATGCTGAAACGGTGCAAGAGAGTGAAGGATATCTGTAGATGATCGAAGTAGATAAAAAAATGAATTAGAATCATGCTTGGTAAGTTGATACGAGATTGGTATGAATTTGACCTTCAGATATATTCAGTAAACGCTATGAACTGAAGACTTCTGGCGGAGAAGGACACTCGACACATACAGGAGTTAGTCCTAGTCCGACAAATGTAGAAATAAATCAGGATATGCGCCCATATCCCAATATCGTGACATCATCATGGTGAGAGTATGTCTTATCCAACTATGGATAGTTTGGAAGCGACCAATGCTATATATAGGGTTATAGGTGTTTGGTTTACAAAGCTTGGAGTTACTTGTTTCGGACAAAGGCATTTCTCTTGAGTTATGGCAATAAGAACACTAAATCTTCTGACCAGAGATATTTCATTATAAACCATGAGAAATTTGGCTCAAAGGGACAAGTTGGAGGCAGATAGCAAATAGCCATTTCTGAACATATATAATCTAGATAAAATCAGCAAGAGAAGAGGATAGCAAGGAATTGACTGGCACTTTTTACATTCTACATTTTTCAATTGACTCGTAGAGTCTAACATGTCTTGATTACTAGAAGACCCGAAAGCTAGCACAGTGTAAGACAAAATCATGTATGTACATAACTTCTGTTGGAATTTAGAATAATTGCGGCTATCAAGTAGGCCACGTTGTTGATACACACGTGACTACAAATTCTGTACTTAGTTTCACTTCGGTAGCAAATTGAATCAATGCGCTCTACAACCTCAATAACTGAGGGGTCATTATTTCCTTAATAACTTCTAACTTATCTTGTTATAAGCGCTAAGAATAAGGAAGATTGCTGCAAATAAAAGTAGTGTTGTATTAAATAATATGAATAACGGAAACTAAAAAGAAACAGTGCATGACAAATGTAATAGGTGCAGGACTGGAAGAGCGGATGGGTGAGTGCTACTTTTTCTATTGAGTCTAAGACTATGTTAGGATACGTCGGTTCTTTCTGCCTAAAGGCCGGGGGTATTTATTCCTCCTTCATAACTTCTTTCCACCAGCAATACTCCCACAGGTCTTTGTCCGAGAACACACTGGGAGACATTCTCAACACCTGTCAATGGTGTCGTCTACGAACCTCCAGCTCTCACTGTAGAGTCTGTAGAGCTGAAATTAATTAACGCCTTTCCAACTTTCAGATGTGCTTTTTCTGTTTCGCTCAAAGATTTGCTTCTGACTACGCACAAGACGACTAAGACAACGACAATGATGCTGGGAATGAAGAAAAAGATTACAATAACAAACTGTTCGGATTAGGTCCTGGTCAACGATGTCTAGCCTAATTGTGCTATGTTGCAGGCTACTGTTACAATTATTCACGGGGTCATTATCAGGGTTGTGAATAGTTTCGGTTTGGTGTGGGTTGGTAGATTGATACCTGAGCGTATCGCATAGTAGTCAGACATGCGACTCGAGTAGCATATGCACGGTAAACCTCAACCCCAAAATGATGATACGAATCAGGCTTTACATGTTACGTCCTATATGGCTAGCGTGGTTGGAATATGGGGAGTTTACCTGTAGATAGATAAAGACGTTGTAGCCCTCTGATAGTTGGGGACAGGTCTTCGACAATATTATATCGGAATCAAATACTAGCCTCTCATTAAGCAATCTCATGGATTATTTCCATTGCCTGTGATAACAGACATACATATACAATGTCGACAACAAGTTTAAAGTCGATAAGTTATGAGCCCGGAAACTGTCAACAACAAGTTTAAAGTCGATAACAAACGCTTCAACGGCAGTTAAAGATGCCCTCATCACATCACAACGTGTCATACCCACCGGCGGCCCAACAAAAAGCCCACGAAAGCAAAGTAAAAGACTCTTCCGTCTTCAAGAGGGGCAGAATTTTAGTCGTTAACAATATCGTCCCTTCTAATCCTTAATTTCGAATCTACTAGCCAGAAGGGCATCTGAAATACATGAGTTACCCGATGACCCCGCATCCGTGACGACTTTTGGATACTGGGCTAGGCTCATTCACGGCAGTCATTCTCGTCCAAGACTTTTCTGACATCTTTTCACGACCTTCGGTTTGTCCTGCGGTATGAATCAAGGGAGAAGTAAGGAGGAGGCTAGGAAGGTTGAGAGACGCTCTTAGGTATACACAGGTCTCCTGCGCCCGGCTGGACAGCCTCTTCGTCACGGGAGAGCCCCGCACCCAGTGGTTCTTGAGACTTTTCCCAGCAGCTACACACCCGCAAATGGCCATAGTTTCGTTGGCTGGAGAGGAGAAATAATGACGAGATAACGGCTCCTCTTAGTGTGTACTCGAATGAAGACTTGTGGGGGTATTGCTGCTGGAAAGAATTCATAAAGGAGGAATAGATATTCCCGGTCTTTAGGCAGAAAGAACCTACATATCCTAACATAGTCTTGGACTCAATAGGACAATTAGCACTCAAGAAAATCATTCACAAGCATAATCTCCATACAGAATTCTACTTCAGCGTAAAAGAGAGTCAGTTTTAACACCCAAAACAATCTCATAATGTGATAGTGCAGGGGCACAATGTAGGAATGAACCAAAGGTAAACTTCATAGTCCTCCACTTGATTTTACAAAATTTTCACCATAAAATTTGGTGGTCCACATCCAAGAGAGTGTAAGTGCACATTTGATTAATCTGTTGAAGTAGTCCTGAACTCAAATTCATAAGAATTATGCTAAGCCACGAAAAGGAATGTTCGTTCACAACATGAATGGGTATTTTAGGAAATGAAAAATAGGCGCGTCTATCCGATTGAGAATACTGGTCTTATGCTGTCGCAACCAGTTGGAATTTCACTGGGTAACATTGGAAAAATTTCTTCTTCTCCGAGCTACTAAATACTGACGGGTATATCTCCAAAAATTCGCCCCAGCAGCATAGCACCTACACTCATTGTGAGTGCCATGAGTAAATTGACTTGGTTGTTGTCTAGTAATGCTAGGGAGCCGCTTGTCACCAATCTACCGGGGGCTTGGCTCAACTTTTTCTCCTTGATTTCGGGTTTTTGGCCTCTCTTCCCTTGCAAAGCCTTTGCTGAATCCCAGATGGATACTCCTGGCCCAGAGATTTCTGGTTCCGTGAACTCTTTTCGGTAAGGCTTAGTAGATTCTGGTACTGGTCGAGTCTTCATCTGCGCTACGACATCTACGCTTAGACCGCCTACCGACTCAATAACTTTACCAGATTTAGCATCCACTACAGTCCGCTGTAATAATCCTCCCAGTACACTATCTAAGATGCTGCCCATTGTTCCCCACATTGTCATAGCAATTATAAATTTAAGCTTATTTATTTGAGACCATCCTGTCGGAATTTCCTTTCCGGCCTCTTTGTGCATGTAGTGGCAGAGTGGCAGTAAGGCTATCGAAGCTGTTGATATGATGAAAGATCCAAGAAATCCCGAGGCGATACCAAGAAGCGTGATCCCACCGTTCGATCCTGGTGGAACTTTTCGTAAATTCCACGATGTAATTAGTCGCGGCTGTGACTTTGAAAGAATTCCTAGCTCAGAGCTAAATGTGTCCGCTGCTACAGCGGCGTAATTTGCAATTATACCCAGAGTTAAAAGGTCAGTTGGCCAGGGAAGGCATTTGTTAGGGCTGGTCGTGGGATTATTTTGGGACAAAAAATAAGTGTGGAGTAAAGTGAGGACCGAGGCGACCCCTGAGTTGGCAAATACTGAGCTAAAGATCAGCAACAATGATGCAGGGAGCACCAGTATTCATCTACCTTGTATGTGGGTCCTCCCGACGCCAGCGCCGCTTTTTACCGATTCTAGGATCGTTAACTTAGACTTGAACTCATGGTTAACCTAGGGATAATTAGTGAGTATCTCACTGCTTGGTAATCTTACAACCTTAGTCACTCGAGTGCCTGCTAGAAAGAAGATGACGAGGAGGGCGAATGGTAGGTTCCACGGGTGAAGTGCGTGTATAGCAGCTGTTAGGGCGGCGGCTACAATTCCGGCTGGCGTAAGTGATGCGTGAGACCAGGCCCGGTAGACCATAATAAGGGTTATAGGTACTGATATTATAGCTTTCATCGTGGTGTTGTAAGGCAATTATGGTCTGTTGGAGGAAGCCGGGGAAAGATACTACGCCCAAAGTCTATCGCTAATCTGGACTACATGACGCTAGAATAGAAGCGATCCACACTTTAGCATTCACACGGCGGGTCTTATGGAGGGCAAGACTGAACACCTGTACGCGGTGTTCTCTACGAACCTGGGAGTGAAATATTCTCCCAGAGCCAAGTTCAGTCAAATTTCGCAATATCAAAGAAGTTGGCCCACGAGGCAAAAATTCAATTTACTCCTCCACGTCGTTTTTTCGCTCCAAAAGAGTCCGATTCTCAACTAAGCTTCATCAAGTCTACCAGTACGACATAGTACATCCTCACCCCAATGACCATACCTCTAGTCGACTTTCTCTGGCCTTAGTTGACCGCCAAATACACGCCCACGCCGATATTTATACCCGACTGAGGAAGCAAAGTGTGGCGCACAAATCTGGGAGATAGTTCTTTGGGATGAACGTGAGAGGAATCAGGACAAGTTTACAGGATGATGCAGGAGAGGGATACGTTTTCGACGGGCGTGAAATATCGATTGTTGGCAAGCAGTTTTACGAATTGAGCTTTGTGCGCGCCAAGACTTCGCTTGCGAGAGTGCAGCTGACACTATAAAAACAAGCCGATGATGTGAGGTGTTATGGTTCGCCTCCTGGTGGTGTTCTCCGGTATAGTTTGAGTAGCCTGGGCACCTACCCCACTTGGGAAGGAGACATCTCAGATTACATTTCGCGCGGAGAAAAGTTGATGGATGACGGAGGCATGTCTGGGTAACTGAGGGTTTTTGAGAAGTTCCCCTGGGTGGGTATTCACGGATGAGGGTTGACTTGGGGTGAAGAAAAAGCCGGCATAACTTCGCAGTGGTACTTACAAATGAAATCTGAGGCATGAGTGCTCCTCTTGTAAATTGAGTCATCTTTTCTGTACTTTTCTTTGATATTGTGTCATAGCTAGATAGCTGCATACGCAATTAAAATCTGATGCAAAAAAAAAAAAGGCGGGTCTTATTTCGACACGGGATCTGGCATGAACAGGTGCCCAACCACCATGGCAAACTTGGAAAATTGCTGACATGATACGTGATGGCATTTATTATACTTGGTCATCAACATTTCAGATTGAACTGCTCCGTGGTGGCTCACGGCACCAGTTCTGTCAGAGATAAGATTGCCCTTGAACGCATCATGATGCCCACAAATATTTTTCCTGTTACCGCACATACACCACGAATTAGCCCCGGCAAAGACGAATTCTTCATCTTCCAGTAGTGCCGGTGTTATTGCTGTCAGGAAATGGACGAGTTGTATAAGTCACATGACATCGCTTAAGGAAAAGAGCGACCCACTTTAAATATATGTTTTGTAGATACTTAGATATCCTTCCCTTCCTTGTAGACAATCTCATTCAACAAGGTTAGACTTCGTCAATCTCAGCTAGTAAAGCTTCTCGTGAAATATTGTCTACCAAAATATCGTGAATTACTGCCCTCGCGCGTATACATAAGCAAAATAAAAAGAGATTAGCAAACCAATCATCTCAGATTTAACAAAGTTTAAGTTTTAAGATTTTTAAGCCATATAACTAGGAGATAAATTCTTTACACGCAATTCTTATCAAATTCAAATTATATATAAATTCAAGCCCAAGGATAAACCTATTTACATTTTCTGAATCATTTTGAAGTAAAAATTACAATGGAAAATAACCCCTGGAACCCCGATGGCACTGGAATTCCGGCGCCTTTTAACGTCTGAATACAAGATCAATTTGAGGGAAGAGATGCAGTTTTTGTTCAAAGATACCCTCTCCTATGTACAGTCCCAAATCAAAATCTTTTCACTGCTGCTATGACGGGAGGAATTCCGGAGGTTACACCAGGAGCGCTCAGTGACGAAATTATCGATCTTGCAAATGCCCATGTCAAACTTGATAAAGAAGCTTGTCGGCTGAAAAACGAGTATGATACTCTGTTGGAAAAGAACCAAGACCTTGCAGACGTAAATGCCAAGCTTAAATTATAGACAAAAGTGCCCAGCCAAAGTAGTCTGCAGCTCCAAAAACAAGTTGCTACTCTCCAACAGCAGAATAAAATACTCCAGCGCCAGGTTGAAAAAATCGATAAACAGCAGCCTTTAACACAAAAACATGAACTTCCTACAAGCCAGTTTCGATCAGCCGAGCATCCGGATCCTGACATCTTCTCAGCCGATAATGCTGAGTCGCGAAAGGATCTACCTCTCTTTGTTCGTAAAATTAACATGAAGTTCATCGCAAATGCAGATTGGTACCCCACAGAGCAGAGTAAGATGTTGTACTTAGTTTCTCGTCTAAAAGGAAAAGCCTACTCCACAATCGCTTATGGAATTAATAGGAACGGAACAGCCAATTTTGCCTCAACAGACGCAATTCTTGTTCTCTTAGAACAAGCATTTGCCGATATCGACGAACAAAATGTTGCTTGCCGTCAAATCCTAACGATAAAACAGGGCCGAAAAGATACGGCCACACATACCTCTGACTGGTTTGAAGCAGCTCAAAAAACGAAACTTTCCAACAATGCTCTAATCAATCATTTATATGACTCTCTTCATCCGAACATAAAAGCCCAGATCCAGAACCGTGTGATGCTCCGCCAGCCATTACCTACAGACCTGACATCATACTTAATTGAAGTTCGGCATATTGATGCAGTCCTTCGCTCTAATAACCCAAATTATACAACAAGTAGTCTATCCTCAGGTAGCTACTCTTCCCTTCCTCTACCTAGCACTGCCTCTCCCCCTCCACCTGGAGACCCAATGGACCTGAGTGCAGCAAAAATCAGCCCAGTTATTGTTTGGACATCTTCTGACGCTGAAAATCACCGTATTCCCCTGAATGAAGTAGAGAAGAGTGCTAAACGGAACTACTGCTTCGAAAATAAACTTTGTAGTTGGTGTTATGATCCAGGTCACTGGGCGCGAGTTTGTGCAGAAGCTCGATGGAACAAAGACAAGAAAAAATCCGCCGACAAGAAGACTATAATCGAGGAGGAAAAAGTATAGTCTCTGGTCAAAGTCGCGATCAGAGACTAGATTATAGCCAAACATGTAGTTTATCAGAGGTCACCAGCATATCTAAGGATGAGAGATTACATAATCACGATTTTAATAACCTACAAATTTTCTCTCTCTCGCCACCAGGTAATGATCATTTACTTCTTTCATGCTCAATTTTTTCTCTGGGTAATACATTTTATACAAAAGCATTCCTCGATTGTGGTGCCACTGATAACTTTTACGACCTCGACTGTGCGCAACGACGAAACCTCCCCTTCTCTATCCTTACCACCCCACGCCAATTGTATCTTGTAAACGGTGCGCTTGCTGCTCAAATCACACACACCGTATCTCTACGATTCAAAATCGACGGTCACAATGAAATCATAAAATTTTTTCTCACAAACCTGGGTAAGTATGAGCTTATACTAGGCCGTACATGGCTCAAAAAACATAATCCATCCGTAGATTGGTCTAGAGATACCGTTTCTTTCAACTCGATCTACTGTGAAGAAAATTGCTTTCTACCTGAAACGCACCATACCAAAAAGCCTAAATTAGAAGACTGTGCAGACACATACTTGTCTAAATTTGGTGAAGCTAAGAGCCGAGATCCAAGAAAGGTTGGAGTAGAAATGTTTCATACACTTTCCAAACAAGACGGTGTTCAGATTTTCTCCCTTTCGCTTTCAGAAATTGACAGTAGACTCCAAGAAATGAGAGAAAATATGACTATTTCACCTTCAGAGACACCAGAAACTTCCGCACTAGAATGTACGAATCTCTCTCCTTAAGTCCACGATACATATATAGCCAGCAGTTCACTCGATGATATTCAGATAGCTCTACAGACTAAAAATAGACCCGATCCTAAAAAAAAGCTCCCAACATACTACCATCACCACCTTCCTGTTCTCGATCATAAAAACGCCGACTTACTTCCTCCCCATCGTGAATGCGACCACAAAATTGAGCTCCAACCAGGCACGGCACCCCCTCACGGTCCACTCTACAGTATGTCCTTTGAAGAACTTCAGGTGCTACGAAAATACCTCAATGAACAGCTTGAAAAGGGATTTATTCGCGCTAGAAAATCGACAGCTACGGCGCCAGTACTATTTGCTAAAAAGCCGAGTGGTGGCCTGCGCTTTTGCGTTGATTACCGCGGCTTAAATTCTATCACTATTAAAAATAGATATTCACTTCCCTTAGTACGAGAAACTCTTTCTAGACTAAGCACTGCTAAGTTCTACACTAAACTCGACATAATAGCTGCGTTCAACCATATTAGGATTGCAGAAGGTCAAGAATGGATGACAGCTTTTAACACTAGATACGGCCTTTTCGAAACGCTGGTCATGCCTTTTGGACTATCAAATGCGCCAGCCACTTTTCAAGCCCGCATTAACGAAGTCTTACGACCATATCTTGATATCTTTTGCACAGCGTATATTGACGACATCTTGATTTATTCCGATGATCTTCTCGCTCATCGAACTCATGTTAATTTGGTGCTTGATGCCTTGGGAAAAGTTGGCCTTCACTGAGATATAAAAAAATGTGAATTTGAGGTACAACAAGTAACCTATCTTGGGATGATAATTCCCATAACAGGTGTCAAAATGGATCCACAAAAAGTTCAATGCATCTTGGACCGGAAGCACCCTTCTTGTTTAAGATATGTACAAGGCTTTCTAAGATTCTCGAATTTTTATCGTAGATTTATTAAAATTTTTTCCAAAATTGTCAGACCTTTCACCTCTCTCACTCGGAAAAATGTCAAATTTATCTGGTCTAATGCCTGCCAAATAGCTTCTGAGACTCTCAAGAGTTCATTCATCTCAGCACCAGTCTTACAACATTTTGACGCTTCAAAAGAAATTTTTGTAGGAGCTGACTCTTCTGACTTCGTTTCAGCAGGTGTTATATCTCAAAA